AATATAATGAACAACATAAAGTGATGAACAGAAACACAGCCAGAGGCAGAGGAGCATCGATCAGACCATCAAACCTCAAAGGGAAGGTAAGGAAGGGTGGAGGTAAGGGGAAGAGATTAACCAAAGTATTTGTATGCATTCATATAAGCCTAACCAATGGACACAGACAATAGGGGATGAGGTTATGAGTTGGGGGGTGAGGTTCGGAGCAATGTGGCGATAAGAACACATATGTAATACCTTAAATCAATAAAAAAAATTAAAAAAGCAACTGTGGTACATCTATACAATGGAATACTACACTGCTATAAAAAGGAAGGAACTTTTACCATTTGCAACAGCATGGATGGAACTGGAGAGCATTATGCTAAGCAAAATAAGCCAGTCAGAGAAAGATAAACATCACATGATATCACTCATATGTGGAATATAATGATCAACATAAACTGTTGAGCAAAAATAAATCCAGAGACAAATTACAGGGGAAGTAGGGGTGTTTAGAACTCAACCAAAGGACTTGTATGCATGCATATTAGCATAACCAATGGACACAGACACTGGGGCGCTGGGGGCTTGCCCTTGGGCATGGGAATGGGTGGGGGTGTTAATCAAGGAAGAAGGAGACCTATGTAAAACTTAAGACAATAAAAATGTAAAATGCAAAATTCTATGTAATAAAACCCTAATATGCAAATCAACTGAATTGTGGAATGCCTGGTGGAACCACCAGTCACTATGATGTTCACTGACTACCAGGGGGCAGACGCTCAATGCAGGAGCTGCCCCCTGGTGGTCAGTGCGCCCCGACCCGGGGAGCACTGCTCAGCCAGAAGCTAGGCTCACAGCTGGTGAGTGCAGTTGCCATGGGGGGAGCCTCTCCCAACTCCGCAGCAATACTATTGAGCTTAGGCCCGATTCCGGTGCTGTTCTCTTAAGAAGGCAGGCAGTCTGAACAACTCAGTGACTCAGGGAAGTGCAGGGAACTCAGGGTGAGCCTGCCTCCATGCTTGACTCACCCATTTGATGGTGTTCACAGGACAGACCATGGTGTCCCAGCTTGAGCATGTGCAGCAGCTGCTGAAGCTCAAGCAGCAAGCGGTGCAGCAGCAGAAGGCCATCCAGCCACAAGCTGGCAGGCAGACATCCTCCGAGGGGTTCCAGACTGCGAGAGGGAGGAGGCCAGGCTGAGGGACCCTCCCTCCAGTGCATAAATTTTGCGCACTGAGCCTCTAGTAAATATATAAATTAAAAATTAACAGTCACATGCTATATGGCTCCATTTATATAACATTCTCAAAAATATAGATTATTATTTGTCAGGTGTTGGAAATGGTAAGAGGGAAGGGAAGAACAATGGTGTGATAAGGGAACACGGAATTGTATACACATATTTTGTAATATGTTTCCTGTTTTTGTTTTTATGCTATAATTATGTAAAATGCTAATTGGAGGCAACTGAATGAAGACCTATCTCTTCAACTTCCTGTGACTTCAAACTTATTTTATTTTTTAAAATATATTTTATTGATTGTTTACAGAGAAGAAGGGTGAGGGATAGAGAGTTAGAAACATCAATGAGAGAGAAACATCGATCAGCGGCCTCCTGACACCCCCTATTGGTGATGTGCCTGCATCCGAGGTACATGCCCTTGACCAGAATCGAACCTGGGACCTTTTAGTTCGCAGGCCGATGCTCCCACTGAGCCAAACCAGTTAGGGCAAACTTATTTTAATGTAAACATTTTTTAAATGGTTCTAAAGCCAATAAAATGAAAATTTAGAATACATGAAATACCCAGGTAACCATCATGTAGCCAAAGTTAATAGAAACCACATTTTCACCTATAAAGAGCAAGATTCAAAATGGGAGATGAATTATGATTTCAGCTATATGCGTGGTCCTTTTAGAGAAAGAACCAATTAAAGTTCCTTTTGAAAGATTTGGTGGATTATTTTCTACAGAAATAAATATATAAATCAAAATGCATTCTTCAACATGTTTCTTGAAAGTCTGAATATTTAAATAAATGCCATTTTCTGCTAATAATATATGTAAAAATTGAAAACAATCATTTTATTTTAACTAATTGAGCAATAATAAAATTTCATTATTCTAGGTACCTATTTAATCCTTTTAATCATGTTTTATGCAGCATCCATTCATTATTTTAATGATTAGACTGCTAAATTTCCATGTTTACAAAACTTCCTCTTGTATTTCTCTTATAAAGACTTGGATTGGGAATCGAAGAAGAAAGTATCGTTTAATGGGGATTGAAGTTCCACCTCCAAGGGGAGGCCCTGCTGATTTTTCTGAGCATCCAGAGTCCGGTTCTTTGTCTGCAATCACAACAAGAGAGGAAGCTGGTCCTGAAGTAGAAGAAGATAATGACAGAAATGATGAAGCATCCATCTGTTTGTCTGAAGGAAGCTCTCAAGGTATTTTATATGCTGCACATCCTAATTATAGCTTTTGTAAATTTGATACATTATTAGTTTATTTTCAGCTTACTGGACTTTAAATCTAAACTCAAAATATTTGGTCAAACATATTAAAAGAAATGGATTTATTTTCTTCTATGTTTCAATGATAACATATATATTTAAAGTATATGCTTTTCTATACATATACATAGTAAAATGAGTACTAAAATAAGCTAATTCACATATCCTCAAATAGTTACCTTTTTGTTGTGTATGATAAGAACACTGATATTTAATCGATAAGCAAATTTCTAGTAATCAGTATAGTATTGCTAATTATAATTGTGTTGTACTTTAAATCTCTAAACTTATTCATCTTATGTAATTGAAACTTTATACCCTTTAATAATTATCTCCCATTTTCCCCACCTCCCCACCCTGGTAACTATCATCCTACTCTTTGCTTGTATGTAACTGACTTTTTAAAATCCCACATATAAGTGAGATCATGCAGTACTATTTTTTCTGTGTCTATTTCAATTAGCATAATGTCCTCAGTTTCATTTGTGTACTTTGCAAATGGCAGGATCTCCTTTTTACAGTTGAATAATATTCTATTATCCTATCTAATAATAGACAAACAAGGTAATTGACCATACCTTTGCTACACTTCCCATTGGCTAATCAGTGAGATATACAAATTAACCACCAACAAAGATGGCGGTTAATTTGCATATGTAGGCCGGAGGCAGCAGAGCGAAGACTGAAGGCGGCTCCAGCCGGAGCAGCGATCATAGTGGCTCCAGCTCGAGCAGCAAAGGCTTTGAAGGCGGCTCCGGCTGGAGCAATGATCAAAGCTGCTCCAACTGGAGCAGCGATCCAAGCGGCTCTGGCCAGAGCAGCAAAGGCTTTGAAGGCGGCTCTGGCCGGAGCGAAGGCCTGGGTCCCCGGTGCTGAAGGAAAACCAGTGCAGGCAGCCAGGGGAAGGGAAGGCCTATTGCATGAATCTTTTCATGCAACAGGTCTCTAGTCTATAATAATAAAAGCTCAATATACTAATTAGACTGGATGTCCTTCCAGATGAATCTAGGGCTGTGAGGGAAGCCTGGGTCCCAGGTGCCTGCCGGCGGCCAAAGAGAACACTGGGTCCCAGGTGCCAGAGGGAAGCTGGTGTTGGCAGCCAGGGGAAGGCCCAATGCATGAAATTCATGCAAGGGGCTCAGCCCTTGCAGCCCCAGCTTCATCTGGAAAGACATCCAGTCTAATTGGCATATTATGCTTTCATTATTATAGATTATATATAAATTTATGCATAAATGTATAAAAATATATAAATTTATTTACCTATTCATCTGTCAACAGACACTTAAGTTATTTTCATATCTTAGCCAATGTAAATATTGCTGCAATGAACATGGAAGTGAAAATACCTTTTTGAGGTACTGATCTAATATCTTTGGTTACATAATCAGAAGAGGGATTGCTAATGTTTTGAGGAATCTCTATACTATTTTTCATAATGGTTGTACAAATTTACATTTCCATCAAGAGTGTACAAGGGTTCCTTTTCTCAATATCTGCACCAACATTTGTAGTCCTTTTTAAAACAAAAATAAATTCTTTATTATTTAAAATATTACATAAGTCTCCTTTTTCTCCCATTGACCTCTCCCTGATCGCCCCCACCCCCAGCTCACCCCTAATCTGTGTCCATTGGTTATGCTTATATGCATGCATACAAGTCCTTTGTTGATCTCCTACCCCCCTCAACACCCCCTCCTTTCTTCATAGGTTGGACAGTCTGTTTGATGCTTCTATGCTTCTGGTTCTACTTTTGTTCATCAGTTTATGTTGTTCATTAGACTCCACAAATGAATGAGATCATATGATATTTATCTTTCTCCTACTGGCTTATTTCGCTTAGCATAATGCTCTCCAGTTCTATCCATGCTGTTGCAAATGGTAACAGTTCCTTCCTTTTAACAGCAGCATAGTATTCCATTGTGTAGATGTACCACCGTTTTTAATCCACTCATCTGCTGATGGGCACTTAGGCAGTTTCCTAATCTTAACCATTGTAAATTGTGCTGCTATGAACATAGGGATGCATATATCCTTTCTGATTGGTGTTTCTGGTTTCTTAGAATATATTCCTAGACGTGGGATTACTGGGTCAAATGGCAGTTCCATTTTTAATTTTGTAAGTAAACGCCATATTGTTTTCCACAGTGCCTGCAGGAGTCTGCATACCAACCAGCAGTTCATGAGAGTTCCTTTTTCTCCACATCCTCTCCAGCACTTGTCATTTGTTGATGTGTTGATGATAGCCATTCTAACAGGTGTGAGATGGTACCTCATTGTTCTTTTGATTTGAATCTCTCGGATGATTAGTGACTTTGAGCATGTTTTCATATGTCTCTGGGCCTTCTGTATGTCCTCGTTCGAAAAGTGTCTATTTAGGTCCTTTGCCCATTTTTTTTCTTTTATTTTTTTTTGTAGCGGGGGAGGGCTTGCCCTTTACCCATTTTTTGATTGGATTGTTTGTCTTCCTTTTGTTATGTTGTATGAGTTCTCTATAAATTTTGAAGATTAAACACTTATCAAAGATAACATTGGCAAATATGTTCTCCCATGCAGTGGGCTTTCCTGTTGTTTTCTTGATGGTTTCTTTTGCTGTGTGGAAGCTTTTTAGTTTAATGTAGTCCCATTTGTTTATTTTCTCCTTAGCTTCCATTGCCCTAGGAGTTGTGTCAGTAAAGATATTGCTCCGACAAATTACTGTTATTATGCTGCCTATACCTTCTTCTAAGATTTTTATGGTTTCCATTTTATGTTTAAGTCCTTTATCCACTTTGAGTTTATTTTTGTGTATGGTGTAAGTTTGTGGTCTAGTCTCTCTCTCTCTTTTTTTTTTTTTGCATGTATCTGTCCATTTTTCCCACCACCATTTATTGAAGAGTGTATCTTGGCTCCATTGCATGTTCTTGCCTCCGTGGTCAAATATTAATTGCGCTTA